GCCCTCCCGGTTTTCCTCGGACCTGTTCACGTTTTATATCATTCCAGGCCTCGAGCCACCTAAAGATTTTCTGAGGTGCTTGTTCTAAAGAGAATCTCAAGATTCCGATAGACAACTTGAGCCTCTGTCCCTGATTCTGAGCTCAACATTTCAATTTGTTCGTGCATGTCAGACGACTGTGTCCTTCCTAGAATGGTGAAGGCTCTCTTGGCCCGTGCGGTTGAGAGTTTGCATTTTTCCTGTGCGTTTTTCACCTGCTTCAGAGGGACTTTTCCAAATGTTGCACTCAGCCCACTGAAAATCCCGGTACTGCTAAATATAAGAGAGTCAATATAATAAATATAGGCCACTCTTTGCCTTTCACTGGATTCCTTCAGTGTCTGCACATGTGAGATTATTGACAGAATTAGATATGATTTTACAGTAGAGTTCCAGCTGTCCAAGTTCTAAATCACAGGTATGACTAACCCCATGGGGGAAGATTCCTAACAATTTACCGTGTTTTCCATGTTAGCGGCAGGTTTCGTGCACACGCTCCGCTATTAAAGCATTAGACTTTCTTTGATTTCTTAATCATTAACAACTTTAGCTTTGATTGCCCATGGAGCTGCAAGCTGTTAAAATTATCATTTGCCTCTTACTAATTTTGAAACCAAGAGCTGTTTCTTCGTTTGATGTAGCACAGGTCTTTCTCAGAGCACATATACTCAGGAGCACTAAGAATCTCCTGGAAGAAAATATAATCTAAAGCTATTGGATTTCTAAAATAGATGGGATAGAGAAAATACTCTTTTTTTAAAAAAAATTTTTTTAAAGTTTATTGTTGCAGAGAGAGAGAGACAGCATGCGCATGAGTGGGGGAGAGGCAGAGAGAGAGGGAGACACAGAATCCAAAACAGGCTTCAGGCTCTGAGCTGTCAGCACAGAGCCCGACGCAGGGCTCGAACTCACAGACAGCGAGATCATGACCTGAGCCAAAGTCAGACACTGAACCGACTGAGCCATCCAGCCGCCCCAAGAAAATAGTCTTAAATACTAAAAAGTGCAGCTTTTTAAAAGATTCAACAAAGAATTTATTTTTTTTCAGGAGAAAAGTGTCTCTGGGTTTTTACGGTTTAGTGTGTGAATAGTGGGTATTTTATGAAGAAGCTAAGGAGGCAGGAAATTTGAAAGCTGTGTTTCAACGCTAAAAGGTCAGTTGAAATTCACCCAGGGTTAACATAGTGTTGGGTTATCATGAAATCCAGCAGAATGTAAAAAATCTCCTGGAAAGATTTTGTTTGTACATAGCCTTTTCAAAACCACGCCCCTAAAGTCTTTAACCCATAGTAAATGCTCAATAAATAATTGTTAAATTGATTTGATACATGTTAAGACCAATTGGTAGTATGATCAAATGAAATATGTGACCTTGAGCATTCATTCATTCATTCATTTATTATCCACTCACTGGTAGTTATGTCCCAAACGTTGTTTATTGGGAACAAATTGAAAATTGGTGACTCAGTGTACAAAAAATGGCTTTTCTCTGACGTTATGGGTATACGTGGACAGCCCTGGGCTGAAGGAATTTATATCGGGCCAAGAGGCTCCTGCTGACTAGTTCTGTGCAGGCTACTCAAGACATATCTGGGAGGCAGGTTAACATGGCCAATTCCTAAGCCCCATTTTTAAAAATTTTGCTGGCTAGACCTAGGGTGAGCCTAGCTCTTGAATTTTTTGGAAAGCTACCCGGATACGGATACACGTTTAGGTTTCAAAACCCAATGTAAGATCATATCATCTATGACTGTTTCTTCCGGGAAGAATCAGTTACCACAGATAGTTGTTCGGCCTGTTTGTAATGGGACTATTCTTGACTTCCTGTTGGAGTGGTGGAGACTCAACTCTGAGGTGATGGTAGCGATAAGATGTTCTCCTTCGATCATCAGGAAGATCAACATGTAGCTTTCCTCCGACCAGTGTTTGTGATTTCTGGGGGTTCTTTCTACATGCCAGTCCCATGCAGGGCAGTACCCTGGGCATAAGCCCCTACATGACTTATTACTTAAAACGAAGCACGCAAATCAGCATTACCTTGGAGCTCTCTCATACTTCGAGGCTCCCGAGGATACTGCTCTTGTCTGTGAGCCATATCGGTGCCATTTATGGCACCCACCACTCCCAGACTCACCCCCCAACCCTTCTCTGAGGAGATACAACCTCAGGTTCTGGCTTCCAGAGGTCCCGTTGACAAGGCAACCAGAGTGTATCCATTCAATCCACCGTTCACCTTGCTATTCTTACGGTTAGAATAAATCCCCCCCTTTTTTTTTTTTCCTTACCTATCCTATATGAGATTTGTTGTTAAGTACTGACCTGCACGGTCTCTTCAGAATTCACCAACTTCCTTCCTTTTTATCTACAGGCTACTCTTGATGTGTTTTCCATCTCCTGTGTAATAGAGCGTACCTCTAATCAGCCCCTCCCACTCAATATCATTATTAGGAAGCATAATCGTGCGTTAGTTATAATGTACTCTGATTTTGGATGCTTATTTAAGATACCATACGTGTTCCTTCCCCTTACGAACTTCCTCTGTGTCCGTCTTTCTGAGGAAGCAGATCATTCTGCCTGCGGGCTTCAGGCTTGACAAGTACTGTGTGCAAGTAGATGGCAACACAGCGTCGTCTGTCCTCTGAAAACTTTCGGTCCCACAGGAATATACATCATTTCTTTCTTTTTTCTTTTAATGTTTATTTTTGTGAGAGAGAGCACGAGCGAGCGTGAGCAGGGGAAGGGCAGGGAGAGAGAGGGAGACAGAGGATCTAAAGCGGACTCTGCACTGACGGCAGAGAGCCTGACGCGGGGCTCGAACTCACAAACCGTGAGATCATGACCTGAGCCGAAGTCAGACGCTTCACCGGCTGAGCCACCCAGGCGCCCCAACATCATTTCCTTTTATACTTATCCTTGACATTTGTGCCTACACAACAGCCGTGGTGTACTAGGTGCTGTGCAGGACAAAGGAAGCTTGATAAAGCATAGCCAGGCAAACTCTCCTAATTACTCTCCAATCCTCTGTTAAGTTTAATGTAGTTGAAATTGATAGGAAATATTTGCATTTTCTCTTCTGCAGGGGAAATCATTCAGATCCTTTTAACCTCTTGTCTGTTAACTCCCTGCATCCCAAACTCCATTAACTTAAAGGAAGAAACACGGTTAAACGGTTTTTGCCTCTTGTATTAGTGGTATAAAATTCCGTAGCTCTAAAAGCGGGGGCTAAAATCAAGGGAAACCTGGAATGGATTAAAGAGGATGAGAAACTTCCCTAAGGATAAAATCATTCACATCTTCCAGAACAGAATGGTTGGCAACTGCTTTCCCACACAAGTACTCAAAGTACTTGCCTCACAAAGTCTTTTTTTTGTTTTTTGCCTCTCCACGATAATTTTTTAAGGAGGAAAAAAAATCAAAACATTCCATTTTTTTCATAAGTGACACTTCTAACACATTTCCCCCAATGCAAAAGTACTTTGAGTTCTTTTTTTTTTTCTCCCGGTAAATAAAAGGATCGGTTTGAGTTGTTTGATGTCCTTACAGAATAACAATCCACATTTTGGTGGCACAGGGCCAACACGGATGAAGTCAGTTGTCCTCTTTTCCTACCCTGTTCGTCTTCTGACTTTGTTTGCTTTTCGTAGTTCTCTGTGAGAGACTGTCGCCTAAGAAATGAACGCAAATGTCATTAGGAGGGATTACAGTTTGTTTCTGGGAAGGTTTATTTATCTAAGTGCTCATTACTAACATTCAAGATGGAATCATTTCCTAACACTGCCCGACCCTTAGTTTGTGCGATGTCTGTTCATTTCATATCTGTCACCCAGTGCCAGTGCCTGTGCGCATATCTTGCTCATGTACCGGGGACATTGTTATTCACAGTAATTCCATACCAGTGGTGCAGTTGACTTGTAAGAGTGAAGTGTCTGGGTGGAGAGAACATTAGGTGGTTTTGTTTAGAAATATAATCAGAAATGGGGAAAAGTGGGAGGAGAAACATAAAGTGAATGTTATCTCTAGGTAATAAGCTTATTGTCGATTTTCATTTTTTGGCTTAGGGTTATCTGTTTTTCTGAATTTCTAAATGAAGGAAAACAATTGAAATCTTAGAAAAAAGAAGAAATTACAGTTGCCGCTTCTTTTCTTATTTTGTATTTGCCCGTCTTAAGAGACTCACCCGGGCTGATTTTCATGTGTGCTGTTTCTCTCCCGAGGAGTTTTTCCTTCTCGCCCGTGCAGGAGCCTGTTTGCTGTGTCTTAGCAAGAGAGTTCATGAGTTTGTATAAAAGTAGGACCTGAACATAAATGCGTAACTGTAGCAGACTTTGATGCTTTTTATTTATTTTAATTTGCTAACCTACTTTGTAGATGGAACCTTGCATTTATTTTGCTACAAGCTGATGCTTACGGTCTTTGCATTTGCAGACGAGGATAGGGGTTGTTGGGGATGGATGTCTTGAGATGCATGGGAGGCTTTAGGAAATATGAAAACGAGTATGGTAGAGTTTGTAGGCTGAATCATGTTTGATAGATACTTTTAATTGAAAGCCATTCATTAACGTTTCTCAGGCCCCAGCTCCTCGATCTTGTTTCAGATTAAAGTCCCGACGTATTTAAAATGTTTTCGCCTTGATCCATTGGCCATTAAGAGTCACGTTCAGACTGCACTTAACTGTGGGCACCTTTGCTACTGCTGTCCAGAGAAATACCTCGTAACTCTTTTTGTTCTTCAATTTCTGAATTTTCAAAAACTGGTCCCTCTCCTAAGCCCCCTCCCTTCTCCTTTTTCTTTTCACAATTGAAAACAATTTCTTCACCCTAACTTTTTGAGAATTCATCCGACAACTATCATGAGACATTACAGAAGATAGAATAAAATTGAATGCCGTGGGAGTTTTGTGTAGTACATAACCAACAAGGAATAATTTGGTCTATTTGTTTTTTCCCATCTAATATTTTAGGTACAAGCCTATGCAGAAAGTGGATGGGGTTGCAGATGGTTTCACAGGAAGTGGTCAACAGACAGGCACATCTGTTGAGCAAACTGTAATTGCCCAAAGTCAACATCATCAACAGTTTTTAGGTATGTTAAGGTGTAATGCGTATTAGTTGCTATTAGCATGTTGAAAAGAAGAGAACAATACTAGTGTTTTCTCCAAGTGCTGTGTCTGTTACAGATGTTAATTACCCAGAAAGATTTGTGTGTCTCCGTGTATATCCTATGATAGCTGTAGATCATTTCTACTTTCTCATGTTCCCGAGAGCTTTTAAAAAATCTCAAGCTGCGTAGGACTTCTAAGTGCCTATGAATGAAAGGCTCATAGCCGTGACCTCGTCTTGCAGAATTTGTATTCATGGGGTTTTTGTGATGAAAATTGCGTTGTGTCCACTTTCAGTAGTTTACTTCAAGTACCAACAAGAATTCTCATTGCCTGCCGATAACGTTGCAAACGCATAGGCCCAGATTAGAAAAAAAAAAAAAAAAATTGCTAGAAACTTTGGAAAAGTAAGCTGTTCATTCAAACTAATCACAGTCTGTCCTATTCTTGTAACTTTGTAGATGGTGTCCGTGTTTCTTATTACTTAAAGAGTTAGGAATTGGAACATTCCGCACATTCCTGTGATAGCTAGACGTGCAAAAAATGGCACTTTAACTGACAACTCTTGTCGAGATGAAAACACATAGTGTCCGTGCAGCAGATCAAGACAGACAGAAGCCAGCAAAGAGTTTGCGTGTGTGTGAGTCTGTGGCGTGTGTATACTTGTCGATGTGGACTTTCCGACAAACAATTTACAAGGCCTCTCAGGGCAGAGTAGATACTGATGTTGAAAGCGTTACGGCAGCGTTTCTCAAACTGGAGTCGTCAACGTGTATTCTGGAGAGCCTGAGCTCTCAACGAGAATTTTGATTTTTTTTTTTACTTTGTTTTTATTTCAATTAGAATCTGTAAAAAAAAAAAAAAAATTATAATAGGAGCGTCTTCTGGATTATCTAGAAGAGTAGAATGAAAACCGTTGTGCAGTTTTCGTTTGCGCATCTGGATTTGAATTTAGGATAAAGCAGGCACCGAAGTGCATTGCACGAATTGTCCAGAGCTAATGAGAAAAGAACAGGGAGAGACTTGCCAGGTAAATTACATAAATTATGTAATTCATCCCAAGGGAAGGCTAAATGACGTCCCAGTGCTTTGTGGAGGAAGGTTCCACAGCTTTGAATACAGGATAATAATGGGAGAATCAGCCCCACCAAGGACATGTTGGTATAGGCCTGTCAAACTCAAAAGTTCTAGGCCACAGCAGTCAATACCGTATTCATGTTGCGAGCGGGAATTTCGTGATAGGACAGCAGTCTCGTCCATCATATCAAATTAATGTTGTTAAGTTTAATGTTATTTTTGTAGTTTTATGTGTGTTCATTTCGTAGCTCTTTTAGTTTATGATGTTATAAGAAGTATGAGCCTACTGAGTTTAAAGCTACGTTTAGTTTTTTATATTCCTAAGTAACACGACACAATAATAACTAAAACCAATACTGACCAGCTCGAGATATTTTTCTCTTAGTAGAGGCCCTATGTTGAGAGACATTATGGTATGTTATTTCTAGTATAATCGTAGTGAAAATTTAGTTCCTCCACAATTTTTCAGTGCCTCCTCAATTCCCCTCCACTGATGCTGTTGCTACGTTTTGTTTGAAACGTACCTACTATGAGAAGTTCTTCCATCGTTGGACCTCTGGCCTTTATGGGTGTTTTTTTTTCCTTTTTTTAGTCTTCTTAAATTTTCCCTCATTAATCTGTAATTGGCACGATCCATGAGAGGTTTTTTGTTTTTTTTTTTCTGTTGTGTTGTCATGGCGACAGATGCATCTCGAGCACTTCCAGAGTTTGGAGAAGTTGAAATCTCTTCTCTGCCAGATGGTACTACCTTTGAGGATATCAAGTCACTGCAGAGTCTTTATCGAGAGCACTGTGAGGTAAGTTTTTTCAAACGCAGTATGAACGCACGCTAACATTTTTGCCAGACGACTTGCTAAACTAAAATAATCAAGCTTATTCCTAGAGGACAGGTAAAGTTAGTTCATGTATCTTTGGACACTGAGAAATTCATCTTTCTTCCGGTCTCCGCCTGAAGAAATGATGGACGCAAGAAAACGAGAATGCGTTTCACTCTCCGTCTCCTTAGCCTTTCCTAGTCTGAATCCTTAGACGTGGCAATTCCACCACCTCTAGGTACTCACCCGACAAAGTATGCCACCTGGGTGAAGACATAAGTGTACAAGGAACTCATTGCATTACGGCTTTTAGCGCAAAAGATTGGTTGGAGCGTCCACATCTACAAGGGAACTGAATAAAACACGGTACATACGGTCTCTTGAGCAGAATTCTGTGCCGCCATTAAAAAGAACAGACACTTCTAAGTGTACTAATGAGGAATAAGTTCCAGGATGTGGAACGTGTGACTCTTCCAGGAACATGTGACTCTTGATCTCAGGGGCGTGAGTTCGAGCCCCGTGTTGGGTGTAGACGTGACTTAAATAAATACATAAACTTAAAAAAAAAAAAAAAAAAAAGAGTATATTCTAGAAATGCTTAGTGAAGCGCTTTAGGTGTTCCTTCCAAGGATTAATGAGGCTCTAGTTTTGTTTTGTTTTTGTGGTTACTTAACGTTTCTCTTGGTATTTTCCATCCCTGCTTCTCCTCCTTTTGGCAGTGTGCCCCCTTGCAACTGGCTCGTTGTCTCCAGGACAGCGGGTTAATGTACCTGTAGCTCACCTGGTGGAAAGGGCGTAAGGGATCGCCGTAAGAATCGTCTTAAGTGCCTCTCTTTTTGAAAGAGGAGTCTGTTTAGAACTTAAGTAGCTTTATTCCAGGGCTATTTGTGATCTGCTCAGGAGTAGAAGATGTTCCCTTGCCTTTCACGGACAGCCCTCCTGACTGCGGACAAGGCAGTATGCAGTGAGAAGTCTCAGCTCACAGCGTTCCCAGATTTCTTTCCCACTCCAGAAATACCAACTGCTTGAGTGAATCCGAGTGCTTGTCAAGGGTGCTAGATCATTAACAACCAAGGGCAAGTCCTCTCTTTGTTCCCAACATTTGTTGGCATGATAAAGACGCTTAGTATCCAGCTGACTACACTCGAAAGAATTCTCCCAACCTGGAAGAATTCCTGGAGGAGCCTTACGTGTCTAGAAAAAAATTCTTTCTTTGTACATAAATATCACGTATATTCACTCAAGATTTTTAGGTAAAGATTCTCTAAGCAGCTTCTCACTTCTCTGTGTTCAGGTGAATCCTTCTTAAAGCAACCCAACCCTCACAAATATAATTTAGATTCTTTTGAAGTTTCTCTTTGTTCAAACTACAAGTTGGAGCACGATCCTTTGTATTACTAAGGAGTGTACGGGAAGCTTATTCCAAGTGAAAAGCTCCACCAATAAGGTGAGAGACGAAAGTATCTCCAGGATCACAAAAATTTCACTGACATATCAGCATCCGGGAATAGTCTCTGAAGAGAGATGGATGGGTATGGTAATCAGTATATGTGGGGAATGGTGGTCCATAGAATGATCCCCATGTTTTCACAGAGTTACAAACGTTCACGCCATTTCTCGGGAGACATGGCGGCAGGTATGGAGAAGAAGAATCGTGATTATTTTTTCATGTCAGACTTCCAGACTTTTGAAGTACAGGTGTCTCAGTCTCGTCTCCTCTCCTGTAAATAGTCACCTGCCCGAAACCAGTACAATAAGGATTATTTAAAAATACATCTGCCTGTATGTTTCAGTCTGAACGTATTTGAAAGTGGGTGGACAAATGATAAAATGTTTTATTCACTTGTAAAAATGTCCCAAGTGAGGCTGATGGGAATGTCCTTTTCAAAAGAATTATTTGAAATTATTTAATTTGGAGAGATTGCATTTCAGATGCACTGAATTCTTTACTTGCCTTATTTTTTCATATTCTGTACAGTTTATGTTTTTTAAAAAATTTTTTTCAACGTTTATTTATTTTTGAGAGACAGAGAGAGACAAAGCATGAGGAGGGGAGGGGCAGAGAGAGAGGGACACAGAGAATCTGAAGCAGGCTCCAGGCCCTGGGCTGTCAGCACAGAGCCCGATGCAGGGCTTGAACGCACAAACCATGAGATCATGACCCGGGCCGAAGTCAGACACTTAACTGACCAAGCCACCCAGGCACCCCAACTGTACAATTTATGTTTTTAACAAAGATTAATATCCCTATTTTATTTGGAATGCTCATGATTTGTTAATCAAAGATATTTCACAAGTATCACTTGTTATGTAAGGAGCAGGTATAATTTTCTACACGAGCTGCTGTAGCAGTAACTTTTTTTCCAAGCTTAGTGTTCTTTTATTTAAAAAAAAAAAATTTTTTTTTTAATGTTCACTTATCTTTGAGAGACAGACGGACAGAATGTGAGCAGGGAAGGGGCAGAGAGAGAGGGAGGCACAGAATCCGAAGCAGGCTCCAGGCTCCGAGCTGTCCGCACAGAGCCCGACATGCGGCTCGAACTCCCGAACTGTGAGATCATGACCTGAGCCGAAGTCGGATGCTTAACCGACTGAGCCACCCAGGCGCCCCTAAAATTTAGTGTTCTCATAGATAGAGATACCTAGGTATTATATATGACGTTAGTAGTTGTTTTGTTAGTAGATATCTCTTAGACTGTGCCCACGGTACAGTTGGGAGAGCAGTTTAATAATTTGTCTCTTGAGAACATTTTTGCCTGGGAAGAGGGACATCTATCTGTCTTTCACTGTCAAGGCTGATACTTGCATCTTAATTGTTCTTAGTATCATAGGGTGAGGAGTGGGTTCATTCATTCATTCCCTTCCCTCCGTCTTCATTATGCAATGACGTGTAACATTCCCTACTGCTTACCAGAACATGCCCTCAAACGTATTTTGCTTCACATTTGAATGGGTCTCAGTGTGTTTATATAGAAGAACAGTTATCCTCCGTATCCTATGTAGGGCCAGATCGACACAGGTGGCGGAGACTATAGAATTGTGGTTACAGTTTCCTCTGTTTGCCTCAAATACCCAGATGGACTCTCCTGATTGCCCCCTGTTGTCCCTCTGCTTCTGTGAACTCTGTAGATCTCGATGGGCCTGTTTTACCTGTCCTGGTTCTCAGTACTGCCAGCATCAAACACATTATGCTGATGACTTCTGTCTTTTATGCTCAAAATAATCACAGAATCACATGTTCTTTGCACAAACAAGTGATTCTTTGGTTTTGTGACTGCTTTTATCTGAAGACGAATTTATAAACTAATTGCCATGGCAGGGTGAAATTAAACCTGATCATCAAAATTTAATGAAGGGGGCAAATTTTAGCATCATCAAAAAAAAAAAAAAAGCATCTTTGATGCAGCTGGGAAATGGTTCTGGGAGATAAAATGAAGGAGAAGGAGGATGCGGCTCCTGCCCCCAAGGTCAGAAAAGGGGATGGTCTTAAAGCTCCTCTCTGAAGGGAGTAAGCCGAGGGAGGATTGAGATGGAGGTGTGGCTTGACCACAGAGGTACCCTTATTCTGCCCAGACAGGTGCTGTCCTCTGAAGGCCATTGTCATTGTAGTTCCTGGTCCAGACTCTGGTTGCCTGGGAACACTCCAGAATCCTAGTCAGCCGCCCTAGACAGGCCCATTTAGCCTTGACTCTGTCCACCAGGCCCAAGCAGCTCCACACCCTTTGCTTCCGCCATCTTTGACGGCCGGGAACACACCCAACCCTCTGGGGACTGGTGTGAATGGCATCTTTGTTGTGTGCCCGTTGGGTCTGAGAATAGGAAGAGTGGCAGTGGCCGTGGAAGCCGAAGGAAGCCGTGTGTGAAGGAACGAAAGAAAAGCAAGAGAAGAAAATGGAGAGGAAGGGGAGTTAAGGAGAACAAAGAGAGGTAAAGCAAGGCTGGGATACGATACGAGGCCACTATTGGAGGAATACACGCCATCCCGTCAGTCTTTCCAGACGTTATGTTCTCCCTGCCGGAGCTCTTCTGTTTGCCTTCCGTTGGCCAAATTTACTCCACGTTCACCGTATAGCTTACGAACCCACAGGTGTCTTCACCACTGCCATCCCGACACGTAACGCGCTCTCCACACGTCCCCTTGAGAAGCATCGTAAGGTAACGCGGATATAACCGTTTTCTTTTTTTAGGCAATATTGGACGTTGTCGTGAATCTTCAGTTTAGCCTGATAGAAAAACTGTGGCAAACCTTCTGGCGCTATTCTCCCTCTACTCCAACCGACGGCACTACCATCACCGAATCAAGGTCAGAATCAATATGCTTTTCCAATTCATTTTCATGGCCGAGTAGATGTCACAGCTAATAAACGAGAGATATGTATACCAGTTGTGAACCTTACGTGATAACATTAAATGAATGGATAGAAATGAACCACAAAGTGCTCTCTGGAGGTTTCGGTGTGTGTGTGGTAGGTCCCATTTTTATTGATTTGGGGGACTGCGGTAGAGCTGTTTCATCCTCATGGAATTAGTATCATACCTGCCTCTCATGCCGTCAGAAAGCATTAACGTGCACAGGCAGCTCTGGGGGCGTGTTATATGTATCCAGCCGTACGGAACCAGTGCAATGGTGGTATAGTGCTAACCTCAGTAATATTTGATAAACTAAAACTATTTTTAAAGTCCATTTTCTTTTTTATCCTCATTTGCCATCTGTTCATTTGCTACATTTATTCACACCAGCAATCTGAGTGAAATAGAAAGTCGACTTCCGAAAGCAAAGCTGATAACTCTGTGCAAACATGAGTCTATCCTGAAATGGATGTGTAACTGTGACCATGGGATGTACCAGGCTTTGGTGGAGATTCTCATCCCCGACGTGCTTAGACCTATTCCTAGTAAGTTAAATGCAGACAAGTACGGATGCTTTTATTCTCATACATTCCACCCAAGAAGTTTGGGGAAGCGACGTCGCGATCTAGGGTGATTCTAACCTCATTTCGATTTGCCAAATAAAAGAAAAAAACACAAAAACAGAAAACCATGCAACACAAAAGAATATTGAATGAAAGCAGCTTAGAGCAAAACTGTAGTTAAACGGGGAAAAAAAAAACACGATCTGTTTTCCAATCTTTCATTTTCTTTTCAATAGAAAAGATAACCTAAAGATGTGACAGCCATCAGTGACTAATTATTATCAGAACACTCCCAAGCCAGGCAACCTTGTAAAAATTATTCTCCCCAAGGACACAGTTCCCTTCAGAAAGCCAAAAGTTTATGAAATCTGTAATTGTGGGGCCAGCCTCCTTCCTTCGTGGTTGCTTTTGATTTGAAATGAATTCATCTTGGTTTCCACTAAAGTTGAATTCCTGTATAAAAGCATTTACTTTGTCACCCTCCATCACGTTGAGAACCACAAATGCAGTGTCCATTAACAGTAATGGTTAACTGGCATTTGGAGAGAAAAATCTCTCTCTCTCTCTCTCTCTCTCTCTCTCTCTTTTATATATATATAAATACATGAGCATTCCCACCATGAAGCAAGTAGGAATTACATAGATAAATTAGGTTTCCTTTTTTAAGGGATGGTGCATATTTGGAACAAAGTCATTTTCTGCACGTGTCAATATAAATGCTACCGTGGATACTTGTGGGAGAGGTAGGCAGTTGAAATGATTTTATGCGAACACCTTGACGAGCACATGCTAGTGACCTTAACTTTTCAAGAAGTGGGACAGGATTTCCACTCTGCAATGACATGAATAAAGTAAAAGCAGTCTTTTAGCTTGTGAAATTGGCAACCATGTGCTTCAAGTACACTGTTCACAGTTGATTGATGTTAAATCCTAACAAAGTCTTGAAGGAGGGATTTTGTAGAAGGCAAGGTGAGGATACCAGCATGTGTATGTTTATATTTCCTTTTTTTTCTAAATATGGCAAACAGTGGAAGATCGTGCTTTCCACCTGTTTCCCGCCATCTTAAAATATATGCTTAGATACTCATTTACATATAATATCAACGAACACACATAAGTTTGTATAGAAGTAAGTTTAGGAAAAAGAAATCCAACTGCCACTGTCTCACATTTTTGTCAATTGCTAGTATTTTCCACTCTATCTGCAGCAAGCTTCCTGACTGACAATTGATTAAAAATGACGCTGTCATGGAAAATTGCAGTGTGTAAATTCTCTCCTGAGTTATGTTCCAGAATCTTGATTTTCCTTGTTTTTGTCTTGCTCCCTGTGCTCTGAGTGATAATCTTAAACGGTTCTGAAGCCTTTTGCTTCTGTTAGCACCAGAAGACTTGTGAAGTCAACAAGTTTCCTAAACTAAGTCATGTATCAATTTTAATTGACTCTACGCCTCATCATTTTAAGCGCACAGTACACTTGACCTTTGTTTTGTGCAAATTTTGATTCGAAAACCTGTTTCTTCTGCCCAGAAGTTTGTCTCTACATTTAGCAGACAGCTCAACTTCAGGAATTTTCACCTGACGTTAGTTTGATAGCTTCTGTGAAGTTACCAGGGACATTAATGTGCTACCGTCCAAAGTACATTTGGAGATTTAATTCTGATTCTGCAACAAGACTTAAGAAAATACGACTTAAATTACAGCTTAAATAGCTATCTTCCGATCATGTGCCTTTTAATATCAATCGCAAGCAGGTTGAGACAAGTTAGCTTTGGAATCATTTTCAATTGTAAACCATCCATTCATGAGAAAAAGTTGTCAGAGTCAGAATGCACAATTTGATCTGACATGAATCCCTAGAGAGAGAGCAAACTTAATTTTATTTTTAAAAATTATACTTTCCTGGCTACAAGTACTTCACTCTACCGTTTACTGTCCAGATGGGATTCCTTTTTTTAGCCAAAAAATGTCTGCATATCACACTAATTTGAAGTCAGCTTGAAGCTACTATATTCTAAAATACATTTATCTGAAAATGAAAAAACAGTGAAGTGTAAGAATTGCATAAGAACTCAACCAGTAACATCTAGGTACAATTTTGAGCGTATGTAAAGGTGGCCCCCGATGTCATGCAGTACAAGAAAGCAAAAGCTTACAGTCACTTGATATACAAAACATCTTTTTCTCTAATAATCTTCCCTAGCATGAAATTTGTCCAGATGAAACAAGACCCATGCTAAATATTTTTTTTAAAGTAACTTTTCTTGCTTCTTGGTTTTTTTTTATGCTGATCGAGTAATGCGTTCTATGTTAACAGTAGAAAACATGCAAATGCAGATAGCCAAGTTGAATTTTGAACAAAATTTTACTGAGTTTCAAAAAGGGTCGTTAATTTTTTTTCACTCTTTTTTCATTTCCATTCATGCCTGCCCTCCATGGTTCTAATACATAAGACAGCAGAAAAATATTTGTCTTTCTTTTTCTTTTTTTGGCTCAAGTGGGAAGCTCTGGAAATTTCACAAGATTCATTCTCTAGAAATTTCCAAGTCCGTGTTTCCAGTAGATGATTGTCATGTTTAAGAGTCAATACTTCTTGAGTGTTTTTCCTGATCAAAATTGAGTCATTTGAACCTCTGTTCTATCATTTGACCAGTGAAAGAAAGGATTTAAAAAAAAAAAAAAACAGTTGTTTTTATGATTGGGATAGTGAAATTTGTATCTTTCGCAAGCAACTTGAGCAAGCTAAATTATTTCTAACCCTGCTTTACCAAAAATGATAGAGAGAAGCATGTCAGACTCATTTGAGCATAGGAAGAAAAAGCAAGGAATTTAATCCCAGCATTAACATTAATATCCTTGGTAGCCTTGGAGAAAAACATAGCTTCTGTGTGTCTTAGACTAGACTACAAATTCGAATGCCTACCATGTTATTGAGAACCCACAGAGGTTAATTTCATATTGTGGGTGTTTCAGACACTTTTCTGTTAAATGTCTGAAACTGTCCCCTACACTGAGGAGCGTTGGGTACAGATGAAGTAAAATGCTATTGACTGAATTACTTTGTTGAACAAGAGAAGAAGTCTTTTTTTTTTTTTTTATACGACAGTCCCTTCTTGTAAAATAATTGTAGTCATTACTGATAACTGATGATGCTTCCAGTCATTATATGACCACTATAAAAACTACTCTCATGGGACCCAGCCCTCTTTCAGGTCTTAACAGATTCATCAAGAACATGGAACGGACTATTTTAGGAATATCTTAAGAATACCGGTCTCTGTGACAGCAATTTTATCACATTGATCTTTTTATCTCTACCTGCCAAGTGAAATGGAGAATAGTTATCCAAAATTTTCAAGTCAGGCAATTTTAATTTTTTCCTTACTTTTCAACAAGAGTAACAGATAACTAATATGATATGTTCTAGCATGAATAGATACGTAGAGGAAGGGAGAAAGCTGTGCAATATTTTCTTTTTAACTGAAGAAAGGAAAATTGACTAAGAGCTTAACAAATCAAGATGAAGAATTTATAAAGAAAATACTTAGCCTTTGAGCATAAAGCTGTTAACGAAAGAGTGTCTCGTTTAAGATAGAAAATTCCATTAAGTATATTCACAACTGGTATATGTCGCTATAAGCAGAAACGTTTGAATGTTTTCATTTCCCAACAAAGTGTCATAAATATCTGGGAAAAAAAAATAGCTTTAAAAGAAAAAAAAAAAACCCAAAATACAATTCTTGGATGCTTTCAAAGTTAGAAATAATGTTAAAAAAGTCTTGTCAATGAGGGCGATATACATTCTGTGTTATTTGAAATGTCATATACACATTTTTTCTCTTCTCCTGGAATAAAGATTAATGTTCTTTGGTGTCTTTTTCGTTCTGCTTTTATTCTTTAACATTTAGGTGCCTTGACCCAAGCCATTCGAAATTTTGCAAAAAGCCTTGAAGGTTGGCTTTCCAATGCCATGAACAATATCCCACAGAGAATGATACAAACCAAGGTAAGTTTTTATGTTTTTGCTTTTGCCTCTGTATTTAGAAAACTGTTCTGTATTATGTACAACGTAGAAAATTATTCTGTATTATGTTGGTATCGTAATATATTGAACTTTTCAAACCGATTTTTTATTTTTGCTTTATCACCATGTAATAAAGAACTTTCACAGGAGATGTTGTTTGATAATGCTCCTTTCAAAGAAACTAGAGAATCATTCCAAGTGTGGTGTATTTATAAGCTCTTTTTCCAAAGTATATATTCCAGATTGCTTAATTTCAAAAATTAAAGAGGATCACCTAGAATGTTAAGTAGTTTCCATTTGAGTGAGTTTTAGCTTTTTGAAGTCCCCACCTATACTCATTATATTGCGAAACGTTCATGTAAATTGATACTCTTTTGATTTTCAGCATGTTTTATTTTTTTCAACACTGGAGAATGCTTTTGTGAATAGGTAGTCATTTCTTAAAGTGAGCAACTGTCTCATAATTGATCAGTGTTTATAAGGAACGTGAATTGTTTAGCTAGAGAAACGAATCCTGATCTCCACTTTGTCTCCTCCTAACCTTACTACTTTAGGTTAATCTGTGAACATATCCTCTGGCAAGATGGGACTGATTTTGTCTAAACTTTGTACCAAAAATTACATTCGTGGCTTTTTCTCAATGACTGTATCCACTGTCAGACTTGAGCCACACACCTTGTCTTTCAATTTGGGGGCATAGTTGAGAGATTGAAGTTCTTGTAGCTGGCAAGTCTCGTTGGTAGCACGAGTAGCTCCCAGTTCTTTCTGCTTTGAGTTAAGATTTGCAATAACACTTTCTAAAGTGTGCAGGAAAAAAAAAAAACAAAACAAAACACAGCTAAGCAAAAAAATAAAACACACTGAAGGAACATTTCATCAGTATTCCCACCTTAGGTTACTGCTCTAGAGCTATGCTGTTAATGCATGCATTAAGGATAGCCACATTGACTTCTTAAATTTGAATTTTACCTTTAAATTAAACTAAAATTTGAGTTCTTCAGTCACACTAGCTATGTTTCCAGTGGGCCATAGCCCCACGTGACCAGTGGTGACCATATTTGGCAGTATTTACATAGAGCACTTCCATCATTGCTGAAAGTTCTAGAGTGCCACATTGAGGTGGACAAAGACAAGAGGTGCCGTTTGATTATGATGGTTACCGGAACGCTTTCCCATTTGCAAAGTCAGTCATATTCACAGCAATACTTCAAACGGTTAAAAACACCTCCCTTCCCAGTATTACCAAAGCGAATGTGGTAGCAGTCTGCCATATTGGCCATTTCATCGGTCCCCAGAGTCGATTTGGATGACCTGCCTTGGTGGAGGGTGTCTTCTGCTCTTCTGCTGTCAGTGACGTGTAGCCTTTTTTTTTTAGCTGAGCACTCCCTCAGTGAAGATAATCTACCGTGACAGAGGAAGGAGCATAATGAGGTTATGACTGGCCATTGTTATCAAACATACTCCATCACTGTAACTTAGTTTCTGTGTAACCTTGAGCAAGCTACAGAATCCCTTTAGGTCACAACATGTGTCTAATATAATAGTTCTAAGAATTAAACAAGGTAATATATGTGAGGCACTTACCGTGGTTTCTGGCACATAGGATGTACTCAGTTAATATAAATCACGGAAATGGAAAAAAAGTGTTAAGACTTATTTTTTGAAAGAATGTGACTTCTCCCATGTTCCACGTAGTCCTGAAATGTCTATCAGAACACAGCATCCTTTGACCTGGGAACACCAGTATGGACTATTTAATCAGTTGCTGCTTACGTGCCCATCGTGATTTAATGGCTTACCATACGTTCCTATCAATATGGTAAAATGCTCATTAGGTTTCCTCTGCATGTGATCAGTTTCCAGGAGATCGTGAGATTTAGATATTTACTGAGACTTTTTTTTTTGACATTATTTTTGATATCTTTCAATGTACCTGTTTTATTCAAGGTCTCAGCAGGAAGCAAATGGTATATCCAAAGGGAGATTAATTGAAAAAAATTTAAGAAGGGTCTGTTTCCAAAGGTGTAAACAGAGTTAAGAAAACCCGGAGGAATGGTGAAGCACCCCAGGACTAACAATAGTGAGAAGTCCTGAGCATCCCTAGGTCTGAAGGGGAAAGAGGTAAAAGCTATGGCCTTAGGAGATCATCTCCTTCGCCGCCCACCCCCCCCATCCCCCGCCCCAGGACTGTGGTCTTAGACCAGGAAAGCTGGCTTTGCCAAAATGGAGAGAGCAGAGGTTGTAGGGGAATGCATACTTTGAACTCAACTCTCTTTTTTCCTATCCTTGTGTCCCCTCCCAGTGTCTATCATTGGCCGAACCCAACTGGAAGCCAGAGTTTAAAGAAAGTGGTTAATGTAGTCCATTCAGAGTAGTCTTCCTGGGCATAGAGCGAAATGAAGAAGGGTAGAAGGTAGATGAGGGGCAAATGGAGGAATCCTGGGTAGCCTTTGCACATAGATTGAGATTTTTGCTTATGTCTGATCAGTTTATCGGCTATGTATTTGCTGATAGAAGCTATGAACACTCTTGTTTCACCTGAAAAATTCCCAGGTTTCTACAAAGTAAAGGCGTTAAGAGTGAGTCTGAATGACATTGCTCTGAAGAGTCTATTTTTTTTTATCCATTTAAAAAAGTGAGGCTATATAGTTTGGTTTTCTAAAAAAAAAAAAAGAAAAAAATTGTATTTACAGAGTTTGTCGTTGAGGGTCCTACAGAGAGTAAAAAAGAAACGAAAGGCAACATTTTTCCTGCTTCCCTAGACAAAGTCATTTCCTGCAAGACTGGTTTAATTAGTGCTGCACCCAGATGTCGAAGAACATGGGAGTTTGTTTTAGTGTTGACCTCTACCTACTCAAAAGGAAAATAATACTTGAGTTTAGAGATTTAAATGCTATAATTTACAAGTAAGCTCTCGCACGAAATGAACTTGAACCAGGTATCAGAAGGAAGCATTTAAAATTTGGCAGGGCAATAAAGATTTGAAGATTACAGTGGTCTCTTTTTCTGGAGAGAAACAACCACCCGATTTTGATGGGATTTCTTTACAGGTCGCCGCTGTAAGTGCCTTTGCCCAGACTCTGCGAAGATACACGTCGCTCAATCACCTGGCCCAGGCAGCTCGCGCAGTGCTTCAGAACACTTCTCAGATCAACCAGATGCTCAATGACCTCAACCGCGTTGACTTTGCCAATGTCCAGGTACTCCGTTTCCTTTCAAAATGGGTCTTTTGAGGAAAGACGCCTCATTCTTCTTCACGAGGATCGTCATATTTGTTTCCGTAGTCGCATCCGCACACAGACGGCATCTATGTCCACACTGTCCTGCAAGATGAGAGTTTGACTTGGCCAAGACTTTACTGCTCCTCTGTTTTGTGGTTAAAGTCTGCTAAGATTTATAGTACTAGATGGGAACAGAGGTCAGCAGGGTTTGCTAGATAGTTAATGGAGCAGGGATGCTCACAGTCCTTGAAATCAGGTAGGCAAGAGATTAAACTCTTTTAGCTACTAGTTGTGGGACGGTGGGCAAGTTATTTAACTGCTCTGGGCTTTCCCTTCCACACCTTATAATACCTACCTTAGATTATTGTTGACATACGTAGGAATACATGAAGTCCTTTGCACTGTAACATACAAGAGGTATATGTTTTTAATAGTGCCCCACCTTGAGGGGCACCTGGGTGGTTCATTTCAGCGTCCAACTTTGGCTCAGGTCATGATCTCACAGTTCATGAGTTTGAGGCTTGTGTCGGGCTCTCTGCTGTCAGCTCAGAGCCTGCTTTGGATCCTCTGTCCCCCTGTCTCTCTGCACCTCCCCCTCTTGTGCTCTCTCTCTCTCTCTCTCTCAAAAATGAACATTAAAAAAAAATAGTCCCCACTTGAAAGAACTAGGAAGACTTAGAAATTCTATTTCAGAGTGCCTGGTAAATATTTGTTCATTTGAAAGGAATTAGGTGCAAGATGTTTGACTGTTTTGTTCGTCCAAAAAAAACCGTACTTGAACATTGTGATCAAACTATTCACTTGTACTTTAAGGTACACTTAAAAAGACAGCTAATTTAGGAATATTATGAAATCCCACAAATAGTTTATTTCAGATCCTAAGGTGATGAAACTAGTTGTTACCATGTAAAAATAGTACATTGCTCACTCAAAGTACAAGCAAAAAAAGAAAGAAATGCAGAAACTGAACATAATCAAAAACTTCTGTGCTTCAAGAGACCAGCAAAAAAAGTGAAACAACTGATAAGAATTGATGAAATTTTCTACTCCTGAAATCATTATTACATAGAAATACCTACCTACCTACGTACATACATACATACATTTGAAAAAAGAATTGAGAAGATTTTTACAAATTATATATCTGATAAAAGAATTGTATCTGGAATATGTAAAGAGCTATTACAACCCAATAATAAAAAGATGGCCCAGGTAGAAAATGGGTGGCGACCTCCATAGCCATTTCTCCAAAGAAGATATACCAGTGGCCAATAAGGACCTGAAACGATACTTAACGTAATTAGCCACCATGGAAATGCAAGTCAAAACCACAGGAGATACTATTTCCCACACGCTAAAATGGCTATCATGAGACGGGTAATCAGAAAAAAAATGAAGGGAGTTAAGGGTGGACTATGCTACCCTAGGAAAGAGATTACCGATGAAAACAAATAGTGCGAGAAGTCAGATGGAGGGCAAGATGAAGGGCACACTTCTGTGGTCATGGTGAAAAATCGGAGCCCTCATGCACTACTGATTAGAACCTACGATGAGCCCCTTTGGAAAACAGTCTGGCAATTTCTCAAAAGGTTAAACATGGAGTTTTACCAGATGACTTAGCAACTTCACCCATAGGTACCTACGGAGAGAAAGGAAATTGTGTCCACATAAAACTTGTCTGTGGACATTCGTGGCAGCTTTATTCACGTTTGCTGCATGAAAGTGGCAACAACCCACTGCCTGTTCACTCCTGAGAGTATAAACAAAGTGGGGCATATCCACCCAATGGAATATCATTAGCAATAATAAGAAATGAAGTTCTGATGGCTGCTACAGTGTGAATGAACCTTGGAAATATTATGCTAAGGGAAAGAACCCAGACACAAAGGACCACGGAGTGGATGATTCCATTTATATGAAATGTGCAGAATAGACAAATCTGTAAGAGACAGAAAGATCCATGACTGCCTGGATTTGGGGGACCGGGAATTGAAGGGTGACATAGGACACAAGGAGTGTGGGGTTTCTCTTGGGGGAAATGAAAACGTCTTAAAATTGTGACGGGTACACAGTTCTGTGAGTGTACTACGGGAAGCCATTGAATGCTATACTGTACACAAGTGAATTATATGATATGTGAGTTATATCTCGATAAAACTTAAAAAAAATCAATACCTTGGGGTGCTGGTGGCACCCTGGTACCTGGTACCTGGGTGGCTCAGTCGGTTAAGCACCCAACTCTTCATTTCAGCTCAGGTCATGATCTCATGGTTAGGGATTTTGAGCCCTGCATCAGCCTTTGGATTCTCTGTCTGCCCTCCCCCCCCCCCCCCCCAGAATAAATAGATAAATTTACAAAAAATACTTTGGCTTAAAAATAAACCATTAATGACTCCCATTTCTTAGAAATTTTAATCCACAGTTCTGGTCTATTTCCGTTACTTAAATATATCAAAAAGTAGTATTTGGGCTTGATTCATTCTAAGGCATAGTAATTAGTTAAGTTCATTCTGACTTTCATGGATTGAGCTCAAACTCCTAGTTATGGGGAAAATTTTTTTTAAGATGTATCTTTCTATGTATCTATGTATTAACACATATAAATACACACATGCAAACATAAAACGTTCATAAGAGCAAACTGTCTCAGGTTTGCAAAGCCATTGACTTTACATAGTTCATTGAAATTTACATCAACTGATTTTCATGAGAATAAGTTCATATTCCCTTAAAATTTCTCCTACAATGTTTCTTTCAAATCTTCATTCAGAAAAGATACTTTAAAAAGTATCTTTAAAAGTTGAAGTAATAAGGTAACTTGTAGTTTCAAAAAGTAATGTAAGTTCAATAGCAGAAAATATATTTAAGAATGATTCCCCAGGAAAAATAAGATAAAAACAGGGAGGGAGACAAACCATAAGTGACTCTTAAATACAGAGAACGAACTGAGGGGTGCTGGAGGGGAGGCGGGTGGGGGATGGGTTAAACGGGTGACGGGCATTAAGGAGGGCCCTTGTTGGGATGAACATTGAGTGTCATGTGTACGTGATGAGAATCCCTGGGTTCTACCCCCAAAGTCAAGACTACCCTGTATGTTAACTAACTTGAGTTTAAATAAATAAATTTAAAGGGAAAATAAGTAAAATAACATGCTTTTTATATATCATTAAAAAAAAAAAAGAATACTTCCCAATAATAAACAGCTGAGAAGGGTTTTCTGTAATATTTGTGCATCTGTAACCCTATGAAGTATTTATGCAAGTGAGTTCTTCTGGGTTATAACTGCCAACCTTGAGACCGTCTTTGCATATACATGGTGGGTCATACCTCCTCTCATCTCATCCTCTGCCCACCAATTGAGGCTACGTTTTTCCCTTCCTCTGCTTTCAGCTCCCAAGTTTTCCCGGGTCTGCGTGACAGTTATTAGTGCTGGGACGTGTATGCTCTACCCTCTACCCTCTATCCTCTTTCCTTTCCTCGGGGGACCAGGAACAACAGTGGCATGCCCTTCATGCCCCCCTACACCTTACTTGGCACCCTCGTTTTAATCAGTTATCTCCTTCTTAGGGTGCTACATTCCGTCTCTACTCCCTTCTGGCTTTCCTTTTCTGTTTGGAGGTTTGCTGGGTTTTCCTAGAGTCCCCTGGAGTTCTCCTTCTTCTTCCGTTTCTCATTCCGATTTTATCACCCTCTCCTGTTCACCTGGAAGTTGCCCCTGCCCCTCTAAGATTGACCTCAGTAGCATGGACCCCCGTGGGGGTGATGGCTCTTGCATCAAGGAGACTTTAATGTAAAACAATGAGGTTACATTTCAGTGTAAATAACATAACGCTCCGAAGAGCTCGAAAGTTCTAACAGGTTTCCTTCAGGATATCCATAAATCTTCATCACCATTGCATTCCCCCCTAATTAAATCTTCTTTTCCTCATGCGTTCAAGATGAGTTTTCTACCGCCACATTATTGATTTTCTGTTTCATTGAATCGATAGCATTACAATGGCACCGTTTTTATGTGTAAGTTTTCCATCTGCATTACGGGCAAGTAGGTTTGGTAGGTCGACCTGATGCGGTATCATCGCATACGCTTGTGGTTGTTTATTTAAAAGACATTCTGATTGTGAAGCTACCGACTCCTCATCGTTTTGGATATAATTTATTTGTAAGTTGAGAACATCTCTAATGGTCACCCTTAGCTTTGGCCGTTTGCAGAGTTGAAATGTCCAGATTGTTTCACAAGGGAATATTTACAGCGTACTCTGTTATCAGTGTGTTTTCAATCTCCAGAGTAGTAAAATGGCGTATAATGTCATTTGAAAAGCCAGACAATGTCCTGTGGTTTTATTTGTCTGAGTTAGGTTTCAGTTCCCCATCATCCTGTCTTTCCTTACAGCTAACTTCCAAGTAGATAGTGAGCTTGACTTTATGGTAAGAAATGAAATGAAATTCCTCCAAAGATACCAGTGCGATATCCTCCCCTATTCTCAGGGCACAAACAAACAGAAAACACCCCCTCCTACAGTGAGTATAGAGTTTCAGTTTTGCAAGATGAAAAAGTTCTGCAGATCGATTGCATAATAAAAAGCAGATGGTTGACACTCCTAGACTGCACTCTTAAAAAATGGGTAAGAAGATATGTGTTATGTTCCGTGTTTTTCACCACAATTTTTAAAGTGCTTGGACATTAATGCAAAGAACAAAAACAAACTTCCCAGTCCTTTCCTTGATGCCTAAATTCTTCCCTGGGTACTCTCCAAGACTCTTGATATAAAATTTCCGAGTCATTTGACAGGGTGTGTTGAAGGAGCTTAGCTGTTCTTATGTAATTCTATCATAAAGAAGTAAGTGCAAAATTTGCAAAGATAATAGTTTCACGAGAGATGGTTCCATCGTTCTTCCTAATAGTAAAAAACTGGAACCGATGGACTTGGTTCTGTAAATAATGGCATATTCGTGCCTTACAGCAAATTCAGTCATTCAACAATAAATATAGCTCTACATTTGCCTACATGGAAATTCAGTTATCATATGGAGGTTAAGTGAAACTAAGCAGGATCTCTACTAGAATGTATAATAGGATCCTTTTTTTACCCTAAGTATTTATATATGCATCAGCACATATCATATGTGCAAAGTTTGAAAGGTTTACACATCGGCATGTTTTAGTTAGCTCTTAGCGTTGACATCTTAGATACCGTTAATATTTTTTTTCCTTTGTGCTTGTTTGTATTTTCAGGTTTTTCTATAATTCTGTCTTAGCGCACTTAAAACATTTGAAAGTGATACTTAGGAGGTAGTTCTGAAAGACTTTATGGCTAATAATTAGGTAAGAGAAGGATAGGGGTTGGTGTCATCTGTTGAGAATTTAGAAGAAACTGGAGGTCTCCCTGGGGAAATAAAATAAATTCAGTTTGGGCATTTTGTATTTGAAATGCCTCCCGGTTGAAATGTCTCTTGAATAGGTAATGTCTATACGATCAGAAGAGACGCTGGAACCAGAGAATGAAGATTAGGGGTTTATTCAGCCGAAACTATCTTGTCCTCTGAGAGCTCGAAGAATGGAAGCTATAAACACCCTTTGCAGAAAAATACACACATAATCACAATGTTTTAGGTGTAGAATTAGGACCTTCACAGACACCCCTCCACGGGAGCTTATCTCGAAAACATTATCTGCATGCAGTGAACCCGGCTTAAAAGTTCCTGTCACATTTCATTTCTCTATTATATGCTGGGAACACGAGGCCCACATAGATTACGTGGGTTACTTGAGGTCAGTTTAGTTGATTTGCGCCCTGTATTAAGATCCACGTCCTCTGGGGGCGCCTGGGGTGGCGCAGTCAGTTAGGCGTCCGACTTCAGCCAGGTCACGATCTCGCGGTCCGTGAGTTCGAGCCCCGCGTCGGGCTCTGGGCTGATGGCTCGGAGCCTGGAGCCTGTTTCCGATTCTGTGTCTCCCTCTCTCTCTGCCCCTCCCCCGTTCATGCTCTGTCTCTCTCTGTCCCCAAAATAAATAAACGTTGAAAAAAAAAAGATCCACGTCCTCTGATTCTCCGCCAAACGTTATATTACCAAATGATTATATTTCGACATTGAGAGTATATACTTTTTAATGTTAAAATACAGTATAGCCCTGGAAACGTCCTAAAACTTAGAGCAACTACTGAAACGTAGCTTTAAAAGTTCTTGTTCCCACAGCTGTTACCAACCATGAAACTTCCCAATCAGAGCCAGAAGGAAAACAGTAGTAATCGAAATCCTTGGCAGGTAGATGTCTGCATTTTCTCAAAAATAGTTTTGTTTTTGCTACTGTTGTATCTCAGTTGTGTGGTTCCCAAAGCCTAAACCTCATACAGCATGTGTTTCCACCCAGTACCATTGAGTTCATCCGTCCGACTTACCCTAAATCTTCTCAAATGGATTGACTTTAAAGTTTTATCTGATTGGGTTGTGGGGGGCCGGGGCGGGGGGTGGCGGTGAGGAAGGGAGAGAGAGAACTTTTGAACGCAGTATAAAAACAATAGAAGGAAAGATTGCAGACTGTTGGCTCAGATTCTCTTTTTCGTGGGTGATCATGTATTTTATTTTTATTTTTAATTTTTTTAATGTGTATTTATTTTGAGAGAGAGAAAGCGAGCTGGGAAGGGGCAGAGAGAGAGGGAGAGAGAGAATCCCAAGCAGGCTCCACACCATTTTAATGTTTATTTATTTTGAGAGAGAGAAAGTGAGCTGGGAAAGGGACAGAGAGCGAATCCCAAACAGGCTCCGCACCATCAGCGCAGAGCCCGATGCGGGGTTCGGTTCGATCCCACATACTGTGAGATGGTGACCTGAGCCTAGATCAAGAGTCAGGTGTAACTGACTGAGCCCGCCAGGCGCCCCCGGACATCGCGTATTTTGATCCTTCACGCAGACCAGCTGACGTGGAAAAACCCAAGTCATGCTGTTTCGTGCACCCAGGCGGTGTTCATTTCCCTGACAGCTGTTGTTCACCTTCCCAGTTCCTTTGGTGGCTTGAAGCCTTCGTGCTAATTTCCCGCCGTGCCCCCGGTTTGCAGGCTGCTGTTGGAGGAAAAGGTGTGGGGCTGAACTTTTCCTCTGCTTTCTGTGTACCGTCCCAGGAGCAGGCCTCCTGGGTGTGCCAGTGTGATGACAGCATGGTTCAGAGACTGGAGACGGACTTCAAGATGACCCTCCAGCAGCAGAGCACCCTGGAGCAGTGGGCCGCGTGGCTGGACAACGTGATGATGCAGGCGCTGAAGCCCTACGAGGGGAGGCCCAGTTTCCCTAAAGCTGCCAGGCAGTTCCTGCTAAAATGGTCTTTCTACAGGTATCGTGCTCACTTTTTCCCAAGCTTTATTCTCCACGCGCTGCGGATGCGCGCACGCGTGTGTGTGTGTGCGCGCGCGCGCGTGTGTGCGTGTACCTGCTTCTCAGACAACAGACAAGACACGAGTGAAGGCTTGGGGTGCAGACTCCCCGTGGTGATGACCCTCCGCCCACCCCCGGTGATGCCAGCATCATGGGATAGCTCCAGGAGCTTTACGGGAATAATCTGTTAGGAGGACGAAACCTCTTGCTCCCAGCCCTGGAGTTCTCAGCTGGGGACGTCTCATAGCTGCCGTGTGCAGCGACAGAAAAGGGCCGGTGTCGTCCTCTCTGCTGCAGACAGGCATTATGTGGGCTTCTTTCCTGAACACTTAACACCACTCGCTTGATTCTCTAGTGAGGTGATTTGCAAGCTGTGGTCCCTAGACCAGGAGCATCAGGAGACATATTCGAAAAGCGAATTCTCAGGCTCCGCCCCCCAAACCGTTAGGATCAGAAATGGCAGAGCCAATCAGATAGGGAGCAACAATCTGTGCTTTTATTTTTTCTTAACATAATTTATTGTCAAATTGGCTTCCATACAACACCCAGTGCTCATCCCAACAAGTGCCCTCCTCCGTGCCCATCACCCCCTTGCCCGCCCCCCCCCCCGCCCTACCAACCCTCAGTTTGTTCTGTGCTTTTAAAAAAGTCATTTAGGTGATTGTGATGTATGCTCACATCCATCTAGTTAATTTCTTAATTTTATCAGGTACAACCTGGCTGCGTGTTAGAATGTAAAATAAACAAAAATCTTACATACCTCCCCAAACCCTCCTGAATGAATCAAAATCTGGGCGGGTGGGTAATAGTGATTAGGGATAGAGGTGATGGGAAAATGTCTTCAGAAAGCTTCCTCTTGGTGATTCTAATGCATAGCCGGTTTAAGAACCAATAATCTAGTAGACCTGGAACTCCAGAAGAGAAAGCCCTTCAGATTACATGATGTATGACATCAAATGTTGGGATGAGTCGTTGACCATATGTCTCCTGCAAGGGCTAAAGGCAGAGCCTTGTACATAGGCTTATACACCAGAAATACAGGGGATGAACGGAGGGATAGACTTGCATTTCGTAACATGAATTCGTTAAGTTATATTTCTAACCCTGGGATTTTTTTTTCTACCGGTAGGAGTTTAGTGGGTTTTTTTGCTTCTTTGGATGGAGATGCCCCCACTGCCTCGGGCGTGACGGCCATATCTACCTTGAGGTTTAGGTGGTTCCTGATTTAGATTCTGTCCTCCCATGTAGGTGTCAGAAGGTAGTGACCACAGGACATACCAGACTGGCTGCGGGCACACTGGGGTCGTCATGGTGATGAGTGAGTCCAGGGGTGAGTCCAGAGCTAGCTTTGCAGGGAGAAGGTATATAAATAAGCAACAGAGTTTAGGAACTGGTATACCTGTTAACCCGGAAGCCCACACCCTCTCGTTGTGACCCCCTTCATGAAGATGCCAGGCATGTTTGAATTATGTCGGCAGCTGCTTCGGCTCTTACCAAAATCGATTTCTTTCTTTCAGCTGATTTTACTTGATTTCATCCAATTCTTACTTCTTAAGCTCAAGTAGTACCATAGATCCTTTATAGGTGCTTAATTACAAGTTAGCTTACTCTTACACCCTGAAAATGGTCTCATGTTTAGCCCAGGGTCCAACTCAGTAAAAGGAAGCCTGCCGGTTTTCTATAATTGTTGTCTTGTTTTTGGAATGGCGGAATTCCACAGCTCGGTGCCTCCTACGTTGAATAATACCTTTAACCCATGTGATTTGAGAAGCGCTTTATTAAGATGTTGCCTGACTCCGTGACCCCCTGGCACGGTGCAGTAAAACCAGTGTTAGCTTAGATCTGGGTGTGAATGAGAAAAATGTTGATGAGGACTGTTGAAGTTTTCCCCGCTACGTGGAGAAGATTTGGAAAGCATTGTCACAGTGTCTCCAAGAAGATACAGCAATAGTCATAGTAATGGTAGAATTCCAAATTTTAATTTGAGAACATTTCTTAAGACGGTTTCAGGTATTTTCCCATTTGCTTGTGACTTGACTTTTTTTATTCAAACATTTTCTTCTCAGAAAGTCATACAGATGGTATATGTATTTCATGAACGATGGATGAAACCAGTTATACAAGCCAGTTATTCCAAAACCTATATGGCCAAAAGCTGGGTGCATTCTCTAGATCAGAAAAAAGCAAGGTGTTTTTTTTTTTTTCCTTCCTAACTGCTTTCTTATGTTGTTATGTCAGACTTGCACTTACTCCTTCCTGTGGGTTTTTTTTTTTTCTATATTTAGTTGATATCGTTTTAGAAATATACCCCTGGAGCCTTCGTCTCCACAGAGATCCGTTGCAAGTATCTTGAAAGGAGAGAAAATTACTTACTTGTATTTCTTGTTCTCTGCAGAAATACAAACCCCGTAGACCATCACTTGTCTGCCCTCTGTCCTCCCTGAGTTGGGGATAATTGGCTTGTTATTATTAGACACTATTACGGGTATTATTTTCATTTCAAAAAGACTCAAAGGCGTAGAGTGCAGGACCACAGAAGGAAAGGCATATTCAGACAGATGCATACCTCCTGCTTATAGGCAAAGTCCACAGCTTAGAAACGAAGAGCCCTTAAATCCGAGCTGTTTTTTAGTGGGGCTCAATAACATACTGAGTAATGAAAACTGCATTCACAAACTATCAGAGAAGCGGAATTATAGAGTTGTTTTTTTTTTCTTCTTCTTCACAGTTTTGGCCTTGTAATAAGTGTTTGGCAGTCACACACACAGACCCTTGGTGTTCTGAAGTCAGTTAATCTGATAATTTCTCAAGGTCTCTGTATCTATTTACATGCATACAAATGGGGAAATGGGCTGGCAGAGAACTGTGACGGCAGCAGGTTGAAGCCTTGCTACAGACACCCTCTGCTCCAAATGGGGGTCTCTCCTTGCTAACCTGGCTTGGAAGGACTACTCTTGGCTCCCCAGGAGGCGGGAAAAAATATTACCACCTTTCCTGGGCAGAAATGGAGAAGTTATGTGGGCCATTTCTCAGCTTGTGTGTTTTGTGGTTAACAGAACAGAACATTCCTCAGAGCTACCCTGAGAGTCATCCAAATATCCCATTTTTAAAGAACAAAATTTATAGCTCTGATACAGTGACTCGAAAGGGGGGACAGGGAATGTAGTTTGCTTACAACTGGACAATTTATAAATCTTCCAAAAAGTAATATTCTTTTGGAATCAACTGTAAGCACTGTTTTAAAAGAGAGTTTGCATGGGGGTCACAGGAGGGATGTTCTCCCTTTTCTTCTGAGGAAGGGTGTGATAGCTCCCCCAATACACAAAGAGGATCATTTGTTAGGGTCTGTGTTTCAGGGCCCAGACCATAAGTCTCTCATCCATGACAAAATAATTAACTTGACAAGTCTGAGTGTACAAGAAGTTGAATTCATGGTAACTTAGCAACATGGAATTCACTTAGTCAGTTTTTGCAACATATCTTACGGAAGTCCGAGTCAGACAAAAAGTTTCCAACTAAACTGTTAAATGTGTCATTTAATACTTGGCCTGTAGGGCAAAGGCCCAACATAGAGGGGATACTAAAGTAGCATCGATAACATGATTCAGCTGATTCTTTTCTAAACATGGGACAATAATTTCATGCTTATTGGGGCGCCTGGGTGGCTCAGTCGGTTAAGCATCCGACTTCGGCTCAGGTCATGATCTCTCGGTCCTTGAGTTCGAGCCCCGTGTCGGGCTCTGTGCTGACCGCTCAGAGCCTGGAGCCTGTTTCCGATTCTGTGTCCCCCTCTCTCTCTGACCCTCCCCCGTTCATGCTTTGTCTCTCTCTGTCTCAAAAATAAATAAACGTTAAAAAAAATTAAAAAAAAATAATTTCATGCTTATCAGCATTTTCTAAAAATCACTAGGTGTTATAACTGAAGGTCAGCGGATTGTTTTTAATTTTCCACCAGATTTCAGGATTATATGTGTATTTTATGCTGAAATAAGGTGACTGCCTAACTGTGCAAGATTTACAAAATACTCCGAATAAAATCCAAGGCTCTGTCCTGGAGACCCGACACGGACCAGGAGGTAGTGCCCCCAGACCCATTGTATATTCTCTCTTTGCTGACTTTCTTCCAGCCACACTAGCCTCGTGGCTGTTCTTTGAACACATCAAGCCCGGGTCTGCCTCAGAGTCTTTTCATTTGCTCCCGTTTCTGCCAGGAAAGTTCGCATGTTCTCGCTTGGCTCACTTCATTCCAGTTTCTGCTCAGTGATACCACCTTTTCAGAAAGAGTCTTACTGACAACCTAACTGAAATGCTCGTCCCCATGATTCTGTTTTTTTTAATAGGATTTATTTTTTTTTCCTGATTTATGTTTTTTTCCTGATCTACTGTGTCCGTAGGATTTACCTACCTTTATATTTTGTATCTGCTTGTGTTTCCTCAACTGTTTTCTCTTACCAGAAGGTGAGTTCTGCTAAAACCAAAATTTTGCCTAACTGGTTCTAGAATAAGACCATGGCACTGAGTAGGAATGCAGTAAACATCTATTGAGTGGATGGAGGTAAATTCTCTTGGAAAAAATCCGTGGACTCTGCATATTAGAGTATTATCAGAAAGCTACTTAGTGTGAATATTTTCCTTAGTCATTAACATGATTTCAGGCTTTTTCTATCTTAAGGGAATAAAGGCCTAAAATTTGAACTTAGAAATATATATTATATATAATTCATTCTCTATCTGTGATATTTATCCCTGCAAAGATTTATTGACATTCAACTGACTCAGAATTGTTTTTTTTATATTTATAAAGTCATCTTTTAAAATGAACATTTTAAAAGTTTATTTTATTCATTTTGAGAGCTAGAAAGAGCATGAGCAGGGGAGGGGCAGAAACAGAGACAGACCGAGAGAATCCCAAGCAGTCCCTGAGCTGCCAGTGTGGAGCCGAACTTGGGGCTCGAACCC